ACTTTGTATACAATTGTTTCCTTCATTTTCTGCTGCAGTCTATTCATTTTCATCCTTTCTTATGCAAATTATTTTCTTTCATCTCTTATCAGAACAATTTATTTATTTTCAAAATACTTTACCCCCGAAAACCAAAAAAATGTCCTCTATATTCGAGATATTTTGAAAATCAAATTTAATTGATTATCTGTGATAGAAAAGTTCTTAGTATAGTTGTATTTTTATTTTTACTTTTTCATTTTTTCAAGAAGACCTTTTAGTTTTCTTTTTTTTCTAAAATTAAGCGATTATACAAAAACAGCTTGCACATTTTACCCTTTATGTTTATTTTGGGTTTGATACTCTTAAGCCTCAAAACCATGACATCGAGCACACCTAATCACGATTATTTCCGAAAGAAATGTACTTCATTATTTCAGAGATATACTGATTGTACATTGTCGGTTTAAAAATAATGCAGATTTATGGGAAGGAATGGTATTACTTCCTCAGAACAGGGATACACATTAACAGCTATTGTTTGTTCTGCTAATGCGCTTTTTGGTCACCTGGCCCACGGGTCACACGAGCTTCTCTCATCACATTGTGTTCGTCGTACGTCTTCGTTGTCCGTTAACTTTTACAAATTTCTCTCCTCTGAAACTACTAGACCAAATGCCTGTACCAAGTCAGGAATATGGCAGATGGTTTTTAATTGTTACGTTGATTAATAGCGTCTGATTTTATCAGTTTTTATGGACTTCCCCTTTTTGAATTTGCCTTAGAGTTCGGTATTTTTGTTATACTTTTTTATTCAAATTGGCCACAATCATTAGAAAGGTACCTAGATTCACCAGTGCGTCAAAAGAACCCGTAGTTGTAAATTTAAACTAAAATTAAAGTGATGAATAACCTTAATTGTCAGTTTGGGGGTTTGCAAGTTGCTGACCTGCAAAAATTTTATAAAGATTAACGTTGACAAGTGAGATTTGGTGAAACAAACATAGCAAACTTTCATACGAAATCTGTGAAGGAGTACTTTAAATGATGAAGCATTGTTTAATTAACCATGTTAACATTCAGTGCTCAGCCAATACAGACTATAGACCAATAAAGTCTAATGTTTGGCCAAAATTGTGTTGTTCCTTGCCAAACAGTACTTAAATACAATATTTGTTTAATTTTACGTATATATGTTGCACTTATATAGAAATTGTGTAATTACATGAAATCAGCATGGTCAATCAGATCCCATTTTTTTATAAGTTTATTTTATTATTGATTTTTATGTAATACTCTGTGTTGTATATCATTTGTACATGTTGTAACTATACTTCCTATGCTGCACAATTTTTTAATGCTTTTTTGCAATAAGGTATTCATTCATAATCCTAATTCATGTATTTGGATAAGAAGATAGACAAAACAAATACATATCAAGTGATTTGCATTTATCATTCTTTAAGAGTATGACGGAATGGCTGCAAATAGACAGGATATGCATGTTTATACCACGCCACAAGACAATGATTACAGTCATCATATGACGATACCTGCAGCCTATACTCACCTTCCACCAATAACTGGAAACTCTTAAATCAACAACGTAGTTCTAAACCATGAGATTTCAGATATTGTATTGCGTGATACAGTAAAGAATTTAGTTATCAGCGAAGGTTCTTAAATTCATATGCAAAGGGATTTATGTCAGCAAGAGATAGAATTTTAAGTTTGTAATTGTCTATCTATATTCATTGTATTTCCATTATGTCCTTCACATGTATATATATCAATATACATACTTGTCTTTCATCGTTTACTGGTAAATAAAAGTTTTTGTCACTCAGAAAACAAAACTTTTTTATTGGACACTTACATTGGCTCAGTACAAAAATCATAGTCCAAACGATTGGAAAGATGGTGGACTGGAACAATGGGATGCATTATTTCAATTTCACTGATATATGAGTAGTATTGCCTGTTCTAGACAATCCGGTACATATAAAAATATAAAAATTGGTTGGTCTTTTGAAGAGACATTTCTATATATACAATATATAGATAATCGCTGGTCATCGGTATAGAGGACACTTTATTCACTTTACCCTCTCTATCTCGTTTATTTATATGACACCTAATATAAACCGCACATGTGTTTGTTTTGAATTATGTAATAATGTATTGCAATATTTGCATCATTATAAATTGTAATCAGAAGACGATCTAAATTTTTACTCCTTTTCCCGATATTTTTTGCTAATAAAATATTTATAATCTATCATGAAGTAGGCGAATGACAGATCCGAAAAGTGTTCACACGCAACGACACATCAGTGCCTAGCTGCTGACCAAAGATGTTGTCATACTGTTAGTGGTACTTGAGAAAAATGCTACGGAAATACTAAATAGACGACCGAAAGGACGGTTGATATGATGAACGCAAAATAGACCCCAATCAATTACTGGGTGTATAATTACGGTTAATAGTGTTGTTGTGTCGCGAAAGAGTGGTATTTAAATTTTTTGTTCAAACTGTCATTGAATTGGTGAACCCGATACGCATTGTCGATTAGAATTTAAATATTAAAATCTAGACTTTCAAATATAATGTTATGTGGAATATACTTCCTTATGAAGTAAAAATGGAATTCTTGGTTTTGATTAAAGTTTTGTACTTGATCTTGATACATGGTATGTACTTATTTACAAATAAAAATTGAGTATACCGAATCTAAATAATTACATTTTTGACCAATACAGTATAAATGCCATCCTTTCCAACATGTTTCATACGCGCCTCCCCACATATCTAGCCTTCAAATATAAAAGGACAATTTTGTACTGATCATTATTTTACGGCCTACAATTTCAACTTTTCCACGTGCCAACAATGATACCAATCATTGTTTAAAACAAACATTTAGATGTAATTAATTAAAACACATTTGCATATTAAACGTTCTCAAAAGTAATACCAAGAAAGTATCATTTTACTGTTTATACACCTTATCGCTATTTATTCAAATCCGGATAAGTTCTAAAATTACACAACTTTTTCATCCAGTTGAAGCTATTTGGGACCCTTTTAAACAATGTACTATGCCTAAAATTTTTCAAAGAGAAATGTTTAAACCATCGTAAACACTTCAAACAAAGCATTTTTATTACTTTGACTTGTTTTTTTAAAAAAGTAGATCATAATCTATAACAGTTTTTCAAAATGTTTGCTATCAAAACGTTTGCCTTTCTTAGCTCATTACTGATAACCTTTGTTTTTGCAAGACTTGACTCAAACAGAAAGTTGTATAAGTGAATGTTTTTTTCGGATTGGACTACATAGCGATAAGGTGTATTGACATCGAAGACTTTTATATCATTAATAATTCGCAGTCGCATAATAAAAACGTCACATGTGTTTTACTTATAGATTATAACGTATGTATGCACTGTAGTCTGAACACCAAAGAGACAAAAAAAAAGAAGAAAAATATAAGTTAAGTGCAAGCGATAATATCTGAATTTACAGTGCTATATCTTAAACGATTTCTGGTGTTATCAACCCATGCCACTATAATTTGACAATAACGACAAAAAATATTTTATAACTGATGGTGTGAGACAATATAATACCCCTCCCCCCCAAAAAAAAAATATATATATAAACAGCTCTGTTGAGGCGCAAGTAAATAGATATGAGTTCACCTGTGATCCCCAGTTTCCACTTTGTCGTACATGTAACGCTTCAGTGAAATCAACAACTGTAATTTTAAACGTTGGATCTTCACCAGGATGATCCTTTGACAGGGGAGGTGGGTCAGGTACACCAATAGGTGACCAATCCTGTTCCTACAGGGAGTACACCTCCTTTTTAATTTTTCGGTATCCACAAATCGAAAAGAATGCCAACTTTAAATCTATTTTTCTATGTACAGGGTCATTAAATTTTATATTTGTCGGACGGACTATTGTATGCATTTAACTGTATGATAACAATACAAGTATAATCACACACTGAAATAATTTCACGTAAACAAAGAAAACATATGCTTTAGAATCACTAGTAACTTTAAAACTAATAGAATACAAATTTAAATAACGCATATCTCCGTCAATAATCGAAAGAAATTCAAATTTATATTTAATAAAAAGGTAAAAATGTTTGTATTTAATACTTGATATCTTTTAAATTTCACAAATATTGTCTTGCTATTAAAGGTAAATGAACAAATGGTTCATTACACTAATCGATTCATTTATTTTGATGACTTCACTTGAGGTTATTTATTAGGCATCTTAATCAAAAATATTCATTTGATGTTTCATTATAATGTAAGGTATCCAAAAATTAATGCGAAGAAAGCGTATAATTTCTATTGAATATTTTAAAGTCTTGTATACAGTGTCAATTCTATGTTTACATGATTTATAGTTGTATTTAAAGAACATATAATATCAAATAATCGAATATTTTAGCTATACCAAAGGTGCGATTACAAAACGGAGGTAAGATCTCATTTTTTATATACACAAACAAAAGTTAAATCACAAAAAATTCTGAACTCCGAGGAAAATTCAAACCGGAAAGTCCCTAATCAAATGGCAAAATCAAAAGCACAAACATATCAAACCAATAGACAAGACATGTCATATTCCTGACTTGGTACAGGTATTTTCTTATGTAGAAAATGGTGGATTGAACCTGGTTTTATAGCGCCAAACCTCTCACTTGTATGACAGTCGTGAAATCAAAGTGAATCTTCTTAATTCGATTGATTGTAATTTTACCCATCATGCTTATATAAATATTACAAATGTGTTAATATTAACAACATTGTTATTGTATATTTTAGCCACACCATATATTATTGTTTCTCTCTTTTTACAATTTAGTTATACTGCTTATATACAACATCTACTAATCACAGTGCTACATATGCCTTTTTCAAATTTTACTTACAGCTCTTGAAATGTGTAAACCCGCAGTATAAAACGATTATGGTATAATGGTGTATAGTTTATGGTTTTATAGTTTATGGTGCATAGGAATAGTGTATGGTGCATAACGAATGTTTTTTAAGACAAAAATAAACACAACATGAACGTTATATATTGTATGTATGCAATTTGAATAGACTTGACTTGTTGACAGATGGGAAGTTTGGCAGTAATGAACTTAAAGGTACATGCACATCTAGTGACAATCTATAATGCTGCATACTTCGATGATGCTTTTATATTTACATTTTGTATAAGTTTAATGTCATTATGTAATGGAAGTACATGTATTTGGCTATAACTTTTCAGTTCCGTTTAATAATATTGTTCTTTACGTGTTCAGGTACATATGCATCTTTGGCTTTCAAAGTTTTGGGTTAACACATTCCTGATGAAGATAAAACCTGAAAAATGATTCGGAAACATGGAATTCTACAGTGTTATTTTCATTTTACACGTGTTGTTTATTTTGTAGGTCAGATTTCAATAAAAGTTAATCCCTTAGATGGGACTGCTGTTTACGGAGATGCCTCATACACCATACAGTGTACTATAACTGGAACCCAGGCTACAGCATGGTCGTGGTCAAAGAGTTCAATCACTGGTGGTACAACAACAACAATATCTACTGGAAGCAAATACAGCATTGCAATGTATCCTAATGCTACGAATTTAACTATCAACAATATTGTGGAGGAGGACGAACAGGATTATTTCTGTCAGGCGACAATTGGTATAGGATTAAAATTCCAGACACGATCAAGGCTTATTGTCAATGGAGGTCAGTTCTAGTTAGGTGTAGCTGACAAAGTAAATGAGCTCTAATTTTGAATAAAAAGTTGATGTGGTAATACTGATTATTTAAAATATATACAGCTAATAGATAATTGAAAAAAAAATGTTTTACTAATGTGGCAGATCATATCATTCATGATAAGATAAATTTAAATATATATAACTCATACTAAAAGCCAGTGATAAGATTTCAGAAATGCTATCATAAATGAAGGGGCCTTTCATAGATGACTATGCGGTATGGGCTTTGCTACTTGTTGAAGGCCGTACTGTGACCTATAGTTGTTATTTTTTTGTCATTTGGTCTCTTGTGGACAGTTGTCTCATTGGCAATCATACCACATCTTCTTATTTATATATAAGCCGTATGCACACTTGGAGAACAATATACTAACACCTAGGGAACATATGCGATCATCCCCGGTGTTTGAAGGGTTTTGTGTTGCTGAACATTAGTTATCTGTCTGCTTGAAATGTATTGCAGACTGTTGTTCATTTCGCCATTTTTTTTATATTTTGCATTGGTGTTGTTGGTTTCTCTTTTTACTTATGAATTTTGATTGTCCTTTGATGCTCGTCGTGCATTTTTTTTTCTCACGATTACTCTATACCACGTGCTAAAATAAACCTTACAAATTACCAATGAGTTTGAAAAGTTGGTACAGGTTTAATCTGAATATAGTTCTATATTGACTATAAAACTGGATTATCCAAATGTAAATTCTTAAAACATATGAACGCTTTGTAAAATTACATAATTTATTTAAAATTACAGTCATATACAAATATCAATAACAAAGAAAAAAACACAACGTTGTTCATTGTTGTTCTATCATAAACATTTAAATTTGTTGCACGTAGTACATTACAAAAATTGAAAATTAATTCGGAAGTGTCTTGGATCAACACACCGAACAGTATATAGAATTTTCAGTTTTTGATAGCATACTTGAATGATTTTTTAAATGAAATTAAAAAATGTAGTATGACTGCCAATGAAAAAATCATCCACCAAAAACCAAATGACACAGAAATCAACAACCACAAGACACTGCACGGCCCATAACAACGAGCAAACCCCACTACGAACAGCAATACACAAAAGACCTTCAAACGACATACAATCCAAAAGAGAAAACCAACGGCTCAACCTAAACTCAAAACAATAAAAGATAGATAAATACTGGTACAAATGACAACCATTAAATTTCAGGGTCCATTATTTTGTTTGTTTGTAAAATAAACCTCATTTTGATAAATTCATATTTTCACTTTTCTCTCTGACACCTTTTTGTAACTATCATTCATTAATTCTAAATGGTAAATCCTCTCTACGGAGATTTTAGTTCGATGAATTAATAGTATAGTTTTTGCCTGTAGTGGTTATATTTTCGTCATTTAGATAATGGATATTGTCTAAAATCTTTTCAGGTTTACTGGCTGTTGGTATTTCTCCAACTGATGCTGATGTCCTCCAGGGACAATCTCAGTTAATCACATGTACTGTCGTTGGAGAACCAGCAGCCACATTCATTAATTGGTATTTCATACAAGCTGGTTCTGAGCGAGAACAAACATTAAGCACAGGCAATACTGCCAAATATTCTGGTGGTAACACTCAGACTCCTTCCTTAACAGTACTGAACTTCCAATCATCCGATAGTGGAAACTATGCATGTATTGCTTCAAATGCTGCTGGAAAAAGTTCGAGTACATATTGTGCTCTTAGATTCATAAGTAAGTATATGTTAATATATCTTGGCTTCATATTTTGATTACAGGAAAAAGGTGGAACATTGAGAGTAATTCTTGGCTGATTTGAACTTTTGATTATGTTCCTACTAAGATTCAAAGCAAAATATATTACAAAAATTACCAGCGTTGTTCTTATGGACAATATAAGCCATCAAATATGTTAGGACACAGACATCAAAGAAAGCAAATACATAACACCGCGTTTTGGAAAATTAAAGCCAAAATGCATGCTTCTAAAGCAGCTAAAACAGTTTAATGTAAACTCTGTGTATGGGACTTAAGTTATTGTAATGGAAAAAACTAATCTCAATTCTGAAAAATGGTGAAAAATTTAAACAACACTTTATAAATTTCATGCGTCGGAAGCTCTTTTCTGGATTTAACTTCAACAGGAACCCCCTAAGCCGTATATTTGAACGCAAAGGATGTTTAAGAACCAAGACAGTTGAATAGCTGTATTAATTACCAAAATGGATCTAAAACAATAGCCAAATCCATCGAAGGTCAACTGTGTCTGAAGGAGTTGAAACCTTAGTTTCTTAATGATTTCTAAATTCATAAATAGACAATTTAAGAAAGGTTTGTTATAAATCATGACTGTACCGAAGTTAAACATATATTATGCACAGCCATAATATATGAAATAAAAAGCCAATAAACACAAAAAGTAATATCATATACTTGAATGTAGGGATATTTAGTAAATGCATGTCGAATAAAAAAAAAGAAACAACAAAATTACAAACAACAATCTGCAAAACACTGCACAGAAACCACAAGTTTGAGAAACACAGATGTAAGTGGTTGCTCTTGAACTTTCAGTAGTTACATATAGCAAGTTAACTTCTGTGATGGTCGCATTCAGTGCTGTCACAATCAGGCAACATATGATCAAACATATCGTTGGTCCTTAGTAACAAAAAATATTCAATAACGCTCTAATAAATCATGGTGGCGTCCTTAGACTGTATTGGTTTGATCGCTGCTGACGATTCTTGTGTAGACGAAACACGCGACTATCGTACTAAAATCAAAACTTGGCATCTTTGATGACTTAGTGCAACCGAATGGTTGAAGCAAATGCTTGTGGTCATTTCGTTCCCATTAATATTATCAGGCTAGTAGTCAGAACTCATTTGCTGGTATACAATATCATTGATATTATCATTCTCTGAAAATTTAATAGTTTGATATTCATAAAATGTTAGCATATTAAACGTACTAATGTTTGTCTACTCAAGATTCGGCACAACATCGATTTTTTTCTTTCATTCCAATGGTCTTTTCTTTCATACATGCTATAATTTAATCAGGCTTCATACTCAATTTAATCCAATAACGTTAATTTCTTAGATAGAACGCGCATCAGGCGAAATGATGCGTGTGCATTTCAAAATTTATACAACAATCTTATACATGTACAGGTATCCAGACAAATTAAAATTATGTTCATTTCGATTACAGGTGATCTTAATGTAACAGCTTCATTGAAAACACATTCCTCTATAGAAGGAGACTCTATAGTTACCATACTATGTGCAATAAGCGGCACGCCACTAGCTATTGAATGGGACTGGACAAAAACATCCGTTAATGGAGTCAAGGTTGAAGTAATAGCTCAGCAGACAAATAATGCTAAGAGACAAGTAATAAATTCTGCAACAAACCCTAATTTGAATATATATAGCATTACAGAAAACGATGAGGGTATTTATAAATGCAGAGCAAATAATGGGAAACGTACATTTATGAGTGAACCTGTCATACTTAAAGTTCTAGAAGGTAAACTGTTCTTACTTCTATATTGAATTTTCGCATAGTCATGTACTTGGGTTAAAAAAAAACACAAAAAAGTAAGTGTTTTATTGTCTATCCATTGGTTTTGAAACTGAGAACATGCGACGAAAAACAAAATGTGAAAATTTAATGTTGTTGTAGCAGATATTTAATATTACTTGCATATCTAGTTAATCGAACTCTGCACTCTATGTTTCTTATGTCAATTTTTTGTGTGGAATGTACATTTTGTCAAATTTTACTGATATCTTTTGTGTGTGATATAAAATGTCAACGCTTTATAAGAAAAGCTATAGCTAAAAACTTCGAGTCATGTGTTTAAGGATATTACATTTCAATATACCAACTGCATTAATTACACTTTGGTAATCTCTTAGGGTTAGACAAGAAATATTGATTTATGCCATATGAGAAATACATCTTACTAGTGAATCTTATTTGAAATAATTAGTTTATAACTTCTAACTGAAGTTAAAGAAAGAAATATAAAATAACTGAGGCGGAAGATTCAAAACGGGTATTCAAACCGAAGTCGAAGTCGAAGACAAACTGAAAACGTCACAGCAAAAATCGAAAAACGACCAAAAGACAAACAACAGTCTATAAAACACAATGTTGTCGACTTAGTACAACCGAAATTTTGAGCGTAATTGGATCGGTGTTTGTTAAGAGCGGTATACTACTGTTGCATTTATTTAACTTCTTTCTGCTTTGGTCTTTGACTTATCCCATTGACAATCATAAACATATATCCTTATTTTCATATGTATTATTTGTTTGACGAAGACTGTAACTTTAAGAGGAAGAAATACTTACACATGCAAATTTTGTTCACTTAATTTCACATTTATTGAGTTTATATGTTAATTTATTGTGAAACTGTTTTAAACGTGAAATTTTTCAAGTTAATTTAATGTAAAATTTTTCGCGGGAATCAAACTTGAAAATTTTCACGTGAATTTCATGTGAATATAGAACTTTTTAAGAAAGTGAAGGTTTTCAAAGGAAAATATAATATATTTAGTACAAGGTATTAGCTATTAACAAAAGTTATAAGTTTGGGAAAATATTTTTCAACTTGGACATCATAAATATTTTTTCACGTGAAATTCACTTGAAAAATTTAAATTGAAATTCACGTGAGCAAAATTTGCCTGTGTACCGTTTTAAAGGGAATATCCGTTGCTTGACCATAAGCCTGTGTGTTCATTGATCATTGATAATTGTTTGTCACTATATTTTGTTTCTTTCGTTTATAATGTAATAGTTCTTGAAAGTCATCTATTTGTTATATTAGTGCTTCAAACTAATCATTGCGTCTACACGTTTAAATGAAAAGCTACATTGTTCATTTAAAGTTCTTACCGGAAGCATTGATATTTTAGCATCCATTAGGAGGGCTCCAGGTGAACCTGAAACCAGTAGATCATTAGAATTTCAGACAGGAAAACCTGTAACTCTTTCATGCAGTTCTTCTGGAGGAAATCCACCACCATCAGTAATTTGGTTGAGAGATGATATTGTAATGTCGTCTGGTAGTAATACATCTACTAGTGGTAATGTAACAACAACAACATTGAATTTTGCAACAACTGCTGATGATGATCTAGAGGTATTTGAATGTCAGGCAGCTAATGGATTCCTCCAGAGACCACTAATAAAGACAACTTATCTTACACTTAATCGTATGTATTGTCACGTCTTTAGACAAGCATTCATAGCTGTGCATATTTTATATACATTAGTTTCTTGTGAAAGAATGTATGTTGACAAAATTTCAATGATTACATCTGATTCGTTTACAATGTTTTCTAATGAAATCTAAAAAAAAAATCGATTAAACATATGCTCACGCTTGTCAATATTACTGTCAATGAGGCCATTTGGAAATAATAACTGTAACATTCATAATATCGCAAAATTGAATTTGAAATGAAAGGTGAAAAAAAAAGAATTAAAATGTTACCTATTGAAAGGACAGTTCAGGGGCGGACCCAGCAAATTTTGAAAGGGGAGTTCCCAACACAGGATAAAGGGGGGGGGGGGTTCCAACTATATGTCCTCATTCAAATGCATTGATTTACAAAACAAAAGGAGGGGGTCCAACACCCGGACCCCCCTCCCCTGGATTCGCCATTGCAGTTGTTGTGTAATATATTTTTTGAAAAATTACGTCACAATTAATTCAGTATCTTGGTAGTGGTTGTCTGTGTGTCTTATAATTTTTTGCACTTTCAGAAATTTCAACTAATCTTAAGTATATCTTTCCTGAGAATAGTAAAAGCCTGCTATAGGTATCAGCATATCAATATTATCACAACATATTTAAGGCCACACCAATTTGATTAATAGTTCTTTGGATTTTCCCGCTCCTGTTTTGGAGAAATTGACTTTTCAATAAATAAAAAAAAATAACCGCTTCCGCAAATTTTTGGGCCGCATGTCGCTCCAAATTTTGTTTCTCCATGAAATTTTTTTTTTTCACATAGACCTTTTTTCTTGTGCATATATTGCTCCGTTCGATTCAAACGCACGTGTGATAAATCGAATTGTAAATAAAAGGTCAAAAAACGGGATCCATTTTATGGATAAATAGTTCAAAGTGGACATCAAGGAGCCAATAAACAATCACTACCATTTATAGATATAATGAAAACAACTATATAAAAAAATATTTAATATTTTGCAGGGGCCTTTTTTTTGGTACATACAAGTACACATATTTAAATTTTATTCAACATATATCATTTACCTAACTGACATAATTCCACAGGCACTTGTTTCAGAATTTTTTCCCTTATATACCTTAATAACGTGTTATATTAAGGTATATAGGAAATTTGTTTTCTGAGACAAGTGCCTGTGCATAATTCCTCTTGTTAAACTGCATCTGCTATGCTTCCTTAAAATATACACATGTATGAATTTTAATGAAAATTCACGCAGACAAAGCTTATTTGACGAAAATATTTATAAATTAACTAAACCCCAGCGAGACAAGAAAGTTGGGTATGGTTCATGCGCCAATCCATCAAATTATATGCATTAGAGCATGTTTCTTCTCCTTTTTCTATGAAGTAACCCAGTTTTAACATGTACATAAATTCTAAATCGCACAATTTAAAAAAAAAATATACCGCTTGCTTCACTTGAAGAGCACCCGCCTCATAAAAACTCATTTTCAAGAAAAAAAATGCAATCAAAAAAATTTCGCTCGCTCGTCCAATATTTTTTGGAGCTTTTGTCCGAAGAACTACAAATCAAATTGGTGTGGCCTATCTGTGGAACCTTGTTTGTGTTTTGTTACTGACCAATTAACATACAGCCTACATATCATTTGATTCATTCCCAGGGGAAAGAAGGAGGTGTGATAAAAGCCATTATTTAACCCCTGCAGTGGCAGAAATAGTAAATCTATTGAAGCCTTTAAATTTTATGCTAAACTGGACACCACTTTAGTGAAAAAAGGTCATTTGTAATGTTACTATGACGTCATAAACATTTCGATATTACCATACTTGATCTAAAACGTCCATTTTATACATAGGTGTTAGTAAAAATATATATTTCAGTAACAGCTTTACCCAAAAATATATTTTACACACATAAACTTTCTTGTTAAATACAATTTGGTGTAAAATATCTTTTTGGATAAAGCTTTTACTCATTTCTAAATATTGATGACAAGATCTCAAAAAAGGCTATTTTAACAGTTTTTGCTGTTTTACACTTGATTAAAGTTGGAGTCCCTATTGCTAATATATAAAACAAAGTTCAAAAATATAAATAATGATTACCGACAAAGGAGAGCCTCATGAACATCTGATTGGTGTAATTTGTTAGATTTATTGTACTTTTTGATTTTGTAATTCATGGGCAAAACGTGGCCTAAACATACCTTTTCTTTGCACGCCATTTGCTCATGTTGCTGTTGAACGTATTTCCTTCTCATGTTCGTAGAAATTAAACAACAGCTTATCTGTTTTTACCTGCTTTTCTACATAACTTTAAGAAATGACGTTTGTAGACCAAAATCATTTATAAAACTATATAATTAGAGCTACGATACCTTATCACACAACTGCGTAGTATTGTATACATATCAATTTTAACATAAAAGTTTCCTATATCACATAGAAATAAGAAGATGTGGTATGAGTGCCAATGAGACAACTCTCCATCCAAGTCACAATGTAAAAAGTAAACAGTTATAGGTCAAAAAACGAGAAACGAGAAACCTTTTATGAACCACATCAACAAACGACAACCACCGAACAACAGATTCCTGACTTAGGACAGGTGCAAACAAATGCAGCGGGTTTAAACTTTTTACCAGGCGCCAACCTTCACCCTAACCTGCAAAAGTAGTGTAACATAACAACATAGAGAGACACACTATAAAAATCAATTGAAATGGCTTAACTCAATCAAAAAGACATTTTAACAAAAAACAAGTAAACATACACTGAACGAATAAATTTGATCTATAACACAATATAAACACAATATTAAATAAAAAAACGGGGAGATGAAAAACAATATCAAAAAGACAACTATAACCTGGGACAAAATTGAGTTAAATAAAATAACGTACAACGGTAAATTTGAATATACTAATTTTGTTGTTAGGAGTACGGAAATGTTTTTTACAAAATAAATAAATTTGTTGTTCATAGTACGAGAACAGAAGTGAAAATTTATCGTCATGCTAAATACTTATGCAAGATTGTACAAATTAAAAATAGTGAGACGAGATATAACACAAAATAAGTAAACATTGAGTAACAAAAATGCATTACAAATTGTGTCAACATGTCAAATGAACACGAAAGTACAATTTGAGAGTACTTGCAGTTACTAAAAGCTAGTTAAAGCCAAAAACAATTAATAATAAAAAATCGTGCACCAGAGACTAAAATCAACTAAAACACATCCCAGGGATTTAGTCTTTTAACGCCACGGACAGTCAAAGAAGACATGACTTGTGCAATGTCAAAATATAGTATTGATATGTACATCTGTAATACAAATTTCTTTTTTTCGTTAATAGCTTCAAACAACCCTCCAGGTCAACCACAAATCACAGGATCACACCTCTATGATTTAGGAGATACTGTAACATTATCATGCAGTTCTACAGGAGGAAATCCTTTACCAACAGTTAATTGGCTGAGAGATGACAATGTCATCACCACTGGTATAACTTCATCGTCAGTCAGCGGAATGATAACAACAGCTCTTACTTTTACTGCTGGTTTGGAAGACCACCTTGAAGTGTTTAAATGTCAGGCGAACAACGGCGTTTTACAGAAGCCACTTTCATCGACAACATACATTGAATTATATTGTACGTATAATCTTCGAGCATTTCAGACGATGTTAACAAATGTACGTTTACTGAACAAACTAAATTGGTTGTTATTGCTAAAATTGTATTTACTACAAATAGCAATACCGCTACAGGTTCACTCTTAGCAACTTAAACACATTTTATTAAACTCATGACTGAGGTAAGTTTTGAATTGCAATTGTTTCTCCTAATCGCATTTCATATTTTATTTTTTTCTTTAAAGTCAAAGACAAAAATAAAAGCTAAATTTCTTTTCGCTTTTAGATATATTGATGATGTCACCCAAGAACCCATATTTCAATGCGTGCTTGCATCTCAAACATCTGAGTGTACTTGGGATGATGAATACAACCGTAACATGAAGGTCTGTCTAATATCTTGAGCTTTTCTTCGATATTGACACAGATGGACGACTTAAAAAATATAATCTATATATGACACACGTGATGATTTTAACTTTACAATCAACGGTTTTTTAATTATCGGCTTTGAAATATCCTCTTTCTAATCGTATGGCGTTAACATATCTCAATTGATACGCTACGCTCGCGCATTATCACTCTATATGGACTCCTTTGTGTTTCTTACACACAAAAAATTGTTGCAACAGAGTTGTGAGGAAAAACGGCTGAAATAAGCACTACACAAGTTGTACGCCCTGGATCACGAATTCGTGTCTTAAGTCAGTACGACATGTTGTAGCATTATTAGATTTATGGATGCCAGAATAGTCCCTTTTAAAATATGTTATTATACCGATTGTGTTTTATTTCTGATTGTAACATTTTGACTAAGTGTGGATTCCATGGCAGATGATGTATACATAACAGTAGACGCTTACTCTGTCGGTGAACACGGTCCTTTTGAAGTTCATGTAATTCACGAGGTTTGTGTGTTAGAATGATTTGTTTTCTTAATCAGTCTATTAGATCTGAAAGTGAATAACTATTGGTTCCTAAATTCTTTACCCGGCTTTGGGTTTGTTAGATCAGGTTAGTGTATTCATAATCAGAACTGATAACTATTTTAAAAAGTTATTTTATACATTATCTGGTAATATTGTATATGTAAAGATACTATATATTTTCATTTTCCTGTCATTTAAGTTGCACCAAAAGTTCCTACACTGACCGGACCTACCAACTTGGTCTCTGGATCTTCAGGAACATGGAGTTGTTCTTCAATGAATGGATATCCTGCTCCGACCATTTCCATGAGAATCCAAGACCGACATTACACAAACGAACTTATTGTTGTACAGTCATATGATGTTATTGACAGAAGTTATACAGTATCTGGTACACTGAACTTGGTACCATCGTCTGACAAAAGTGGACAAAATCTTTGTTGTGATGTTAGTCATCTGTTCAATAACAAAGTACCTCAATCAGTGTGTTTGCAGTTGACAATTAATGGTATGTTGTATGATAGTGATGTTTTTTCTCGGAAAATATATATTCAAGTGTTTTATGTATTCAATTCGAAATGCGCCAAACAAATATCATGAAAATATTTGATGAAACATGGGAAATACACCGAATTGATTTTTTTTTTGGTTACGGGCATTTCTGATTCCAGACATCTTTTTGGTCTTTTAAATCGGTATTCAACTTTTAGCCTATTATTATTTTACATCATCAAAACAAAAAATTATGAATCAACAACATATAGTTGTTAAAGAAAAAAAATGGATTTGAACAAGGAGATTTGATAAGTTAAGATAAATATAAGAACATTTTACGTCGATTTTATGTGCATTCTACAGAATGTGTTCGCCTTTTTTGAAATTCAATCACTTATAAATCAGATAACAAAAGAGTTAAACACATTTTTTTTCGATTTTCAGTTATCGTTTCTCATAACAAAAGTTGTATGCAAAATTTTACCAAAATCAGTAACATAGCCCATTTAGTGTAACTTGACGTTAATTTCTCATCTGAACAATATTACAACTCTGATCAATATTTTTAGATTCAGACTTTTCAATTGACGTTAAGATAAAAATGGCCGTTAAAGCCTAAAACTAGTAATATACAGATCTATAAACGTATTATTTACTTTTAGATGAAGAAGAACAGAATGTTATTATGTACGTCGTGATAGGACTGGTTGCATTATTGCTGCTCTTCATATTAATCATTGCAATACTTTGTAACAGAAATGGTATGGTTCCTTATTAAAACAAATATTCCCAAAGGGTTGCATTCATGCTGATCTATAGTTTTAAGTTTCCAGCGAAATTCTCTGATCGGTTTGTATGTACATGTTCTTGTTGGACTTATCTAAGGGAAATGTTTTGGTGGTGTTATAATATAACCATAGTTATAGTGTTTTTACTCTCCGAACATTATAAAATATCTTTCGAACAGTTATTTTGACTAAAAAATAGCGGAACTATTGCTTATCTCTGTTCATTCGTTACATTTTGTTTTTAAGACTCTTCAAAGAATGATTTCATACCAACTGGTATAACATTTACATTGGCACGTGTACTATTTTGCAAGTTCAATTGATACTGGTATAAAGAGAAATATTTTCAATGACCAAATATATACACATGCTTCTGTTTATAATAAGTGAATATAATCGTTTTAATTAAAAACTAAAGTACAATAAAAGTCTGATATTTTTCTTTGTTTTATTTCCCTTATGTTGACATCCTTGATCTTTCGTTTTCAATAGTCTGAAAAGCAATAACCTCATGACTTTTTTTTATATAAATTAAAATCAAATCAAATTTTTGAGAAGTGTAGTCAGTATTAGTAAACATATGATTTATGTTCAATAAGATATGGTTTTTATTTGTTCAAGGCTGTAAACTTAGTCAAGGCAAAAAGAGAGAAAATACAAAGTAAGTAAAGATATTCAAAAAATTGTTTACGTTTGCATGTTGATTACTTGCATGTATGATATAACTGATTGAACTGTTGATCTATCATCTTCAAGATAAACATAAATATACATAACTTTTTTCGATGCAGAGTGTCTAATTTCAGAAATTGTAATCTCACTCCTTTTTTCTGTGTTTTTTTGGGTTAAACGGTACTACTTAATTGCTTGTGGAGAAAAGGATATCAGCGTTAGAAAAATATATAACATACAATTATATATAACTTTAAAAAAAGAGGTCGGTGATACCAAAGATACATTAAAAACTCATGAGATGGAGATAAAACTGACTACCCAAAAGCAAACAAACGAAAACGACGAAAAGCGAGACATTTAAAAAAAAGTGCTACATAGAAAACTAAGGAGACTGACAGTATTTGGATCTTTTGGAAGTTGATGTTCTTAAACTCTTCATTATTACGTTTACAGTCAAACTGTTTAGATTCGAACACAGCTGGTGACTCCTAAGAAGATGAAACGCGTGCCCGGCGTACTGAATTTAAATCATATTATATAAATAAACTCATCATATATACCATGATTTAACGTTTGTACGCCAAATGTACGTTTTGTATATGAAAGACTCATCAGTGAAGATACAAAAAGGCCAAATATAATACAAGGTTGAAGAGCATTGAGGACCTGAATTTTCGAAAGGTTTTGTCAAATAAAGCATAGGTAATTCATTCCTTTGGTAGAAAATCCTTAGTAGTTCGAAAAATTCAAAGTTTTGTAGACAGTCAATTTATAAGTATGACCATATCAATGATAGTTCATGTCAACACAGACATGCTGACTACTGGGCTGGTAATACCCTTGGGGAGGAAACCTCCACCAGCAGTGGCATATATTTAATGTGTTTTTCTATTCAGGTCTTTAAGAGATAGGGTGCTTTCATAATGATGTTTCATTGGTTGGATGTTATTTAATATGTTAAATATTTCAATCTAAAATATAAGGTGTTACATTAACTGTCCTCTAGCATCACTGAAGGACATTATCTACTGAAATACGCATTTGGTGCCGTAAAATTGGTACCGTTAATGTTTTGAATACATATTCAGGTGTTTTTATTTTATCATTTGTTTTAGCAGAAAATATGTATCACAACAGACAGCAATTTCTAGCCAGTATGATTCTACAGGTAAAACACTGTCATAAATACTATAATATTTATATCAAAACAACAACTGCAATCAATATCTTTCAAATTGTATATTGGAAAAAAAATGCATAAGTCCCTTGTTTGCATTTTGTAATGAAGTGTGCATCCTTCAAGAAGAGGCGAAAGATGCAATAGAAGATCAAAACTCATTAATAAAAGAAAACAGACAACGACAACGCCCAAGCTAAAAATGAAAAACAACACAAAGACTAACACATTCATAAGAAATACACTGAAAACTAATGGAGTACTAACACAACACAAAATTGTGGATGATCTCAGGTTCTCCAAAAAGGTGAGCAGACCCCGCTCCACATATGACATCCGTTATGTTACTCCTCTAAATTACATCGATAAGTTAGATAAGTTAGTTAGGTATCACATAATATCGGATCGTTCATCATTCTTCGTTCATTTTATCAGCGGTAAAATACCTTGCAACTGCTTTATTTTAACTATTACTTTTCTGGGACAATACAATTAAATTCTCCCAATGTCTTTTCTTTATTGACATTTTGATTTTGTGTGGATATATATTACGGGTATTGCATGCATAACAGGAGACGCTCACCCTGACGATACATCCGGTCCCGCTCCTTTAGGAGTTCATGCCGTTTTGGTTTTTACCTTGATTTGTAACATTAACTGCTGTTTTCTCAAATTCATATCATCACACTTACTTTAATATCAGAATTAGAATGTGAACGACAATACTATTGTTTTGCATTTATATCTATATATATATTGTGTCCTCCTTTATTATAATTATGCAAAAACAAAGTATATTAGAGTTCAGAGTAAAAAGAAATACACTTGTATATGTTTTGTTTCAGGTAATCTTGGACAGCAGAATCGTGACAGGTAGGTTGTTAATATAATAAGAACAGACGCAGCTGGAATTTTTGTATCTTACATAGATATAAGAAGATGTGGTATGAGTGCCAATGAGACAACTCTACATCCAAATTACAATTTATAAAAGTAAACCGTTATAGGTCAAGGTACGGCCTACAACACGGAGGTTTGGCTCACACCGAACAGCAAGCTATAAAGGGCCCCAAAAAATTACTAGTGTAAAACCATTCAAACGGAAAAACCAACGGTCTAATCTATATAAAAACGAGAAACACGTATGATCTACATAAACAGACGACAACTACTGTAATCAGATTTCTGACTTAGGACAGGTGCAAACATTTACAGCGGGATTAAACGTTTTAATGGTACCAAACCTTCTCCCTTTTCTGAAACAATAGTATAACATCACAACATAGAAAAACACACTATAAAATATCAATTGGAAGGCTTAACTCAATCAAAAAACGTAAATTAACACACAATGAACGAATAAATTTGACCTGTGACACCTGAATGCAAATACACAGTTAATAAAAAATTACAAGGGATAAATAATTAAAGTCAAAAGTAAATAAACAGGTTTAAACAAAGTTAAAGTATGATATCACTGTGAAATTTCAAACAATTTATAGAAAATCATCACTTTTGAATAAACCTGCGTCATATTATACACAGGTAAATGAAAATAATTTTGTTGTTAAGTATACTTCTTCTTCTGTGTGTATAAAATCTTCCGTTTAGGAATACCAAGAAATTTCTTTAATATCAATAAAACTAATCTAACACTTGGTACATATGGGGTGAATATCAACAATAAAAATATACAATTAGTGCTAGATAAAACTTCCTGTACAGGTCCAAGAACAGCTTCTAAGGAAAAATGAAATAATTTTGATGTTCATAGTACGAAGAAGTGAAAATTTGTAGTAATTAAATACCAAATAATCAAAGCTGGTATATAGACAAGATCCATGTTAACATTAAATAACAAAAAAGCATTACAAATAGTATCAACAGGTCAAATTAAAAAGAAAGTACATGTTTATTCTAGTTTTTGGAGAACGTCAAGATTTAAAACGTTAAAGCAAGGTTGGCAAAACGCGGGCTTTATGATTACTGACAAGCCCAGAAGAAAATACTTGGACAATTAAGGTTTCACAGGCGCATACTTGTAGATATTTGGCAAAATTTAAAAAAATGGCCTGAATCTTTGATTGTATTGTGTGCTCTATTACAAAAGCAATTCATAACGATATATAAGATGGCTTAGTATTTTAATTCTAATTTTCATTATATAAGTTTACTTGTTTGAGATTCTAATCAGATAGTGCATTAATTTGAGAAATAATTGATGCAGCAACACTAAGATGTACACGTACATCTGTGGTTTTGTTACTTATATTTCTGCTTTATATCGATCCGATCTCTTTTCAACTGCTTTTTATAGATTGTTCATATGGTGTGCTGTTACACCACTGTCAAAGGTTAGGGGTGGGTTGGCCGCCCGCAAAAATGTTTAAAAACCAGCCACATCCTGTATGTGACTCTCCCAAGTAAGAAGCCTGTAATTCAGGGGTTGTCGTCAATTGCTGTATAACATATTTGTTTTTCGTTCATTTTTTTTTCATAAATCAGGCCATTAATTTTCTCGGCTGAATTGTTTTACATGTGTCATTTCAGGGCCTTTTATAACACACTATGCGGTATGGCTTTTTCTCATTGTTGACTGCCATATGGTGACCTATAGTTGTTTACTTCTTTTTCATTGGCAATTATACCAAATTTTCTTATTTTTATATGAATGCACATGCCCAAATGAACATTTTTCTCAATAAGATTTGTAAATAATTCTTATAACAAGTTATCTAATTGTTGTTCTGTCTAAATTGGTAGAACTGTTTACATGAAAGCAAATATTTCAATATATTTATATAGCTAATATTTATAACATAGAAATAACAAGGCCGTGAATACCTTACGGTGGCCTATAATGCTTATACATATACGTCAGTTGGTATCTGGTGGATAGTTGCATCATATTGAAAATGTGGTAGAATTGCTTATGACAGATTGTCCAAAAAATGTGCTCAACTAAGTAGTCTGCCTATACTGAAATATTGTAGAAAAGGAAGACATTGAGATTTTCATCTTCTGAAAATGACTTTCAGTGTTTATTTGTAAAGCTGTATATATCACACATAGATACGTTAGAACTACAATATGGCCTACTATTGTGTGTACCATAATATCAAGCTTAAACAATCATAGTACTACCGATTTCAAGGAGTATTGCTTCATCTGGAACAACCTTGGCTTATACATCCGATTTTTCCCGCCAGGGCAAATGTTTTCTAAACCTACTTAAAGCCGTTGAATAACACTTGAAGGTGATGAGATGTAAGTTAAACTTTATAATTGTGAACAGTATTATGTGCCTTTTCATGGCGGTTGACAGAATACCGTAAACACTTCCGATATCTTCCCTTTTCAGCTCCCGCTATATAATTTATTTTTATAACTATCTGATTTACTCAGTAGAAATGGTTAACATGACAATGAATAAACGAATGAAGCAACCAATACATTTACCACCGAATCATTATGTAGTTTTTGACATAAGTATAATCATGATTGAGCACACTATTCTTATTTTTTAATCTAATATCATGAGCAGTACTCATTTCAATTTTCCAGATGCGCATTCAACAATTAATGTCTGCACAGGCAATGCCGTTTTAGTACTGTAAAAGAGAGGCAAAAAATACCAAAGGTTCATTCAAACTCGTAACCCGAAAACAAACTGACAAGGCCATGGCATAAAACAAAAAACGACAAAAAAGACAAAACAACACTACACAAAACACAACACAGAAAACTAAAGACTGAACAACACGAGACCTCACCAAAAACTGGGTTTTTTTCAGGTGCTCCAGAAGGGTAAGCAGATCTTGCTCCACATGTGGAATCCGTCATGTTGCTAATTTAAGTACAAACCCGATGATAAATCTAATTTGGTAGGTCACATTCAATGAAAAGAGAACGGGATTGTGGTAACAATAATTGTAAACCTACTTGTTTTCTCGGATACTCAATTTTTTGTTTGGCTCCTTATAGCCGACTTCACAGTAATCTTAATTTTTTTGATTTTTTTAAAGAGAATACAACAAATATGACATAGCATTATACATATCAAGTAATTTGTATTTATAATGTTTATTACCTTCAGAGTTTATAATGGAATGCTACCAAATAGAGTGGAGATGCATGTTTATAGCACACCACAAGACCAGGACGATTACAATCATTATATGACGATACCTGGAGATCTACGTAATACTTATTTTCAACCAATCAGCGGAAACACTTTGAAATCAACAACGTAGTTGACCTGATGTTCTAAAAGACAAGTCATGAGATTTCAAAACATTTTGTAAATGTATACTTTTTATTGTGTAATACAAGAACGAAAGAAATTATCAGCGATGGTTCCTTGATACATACTTAAAGAGATAATACTTTGCAAGAGCTGCAATTTTACATTTCGAATTTGTTTTTCTGTATATGAACATTATGTCCTTTAGATATATATATGTGCCTTTGTCCGTAGACAGTAACAATGTTCCACTACTGGTAAATGAAAGTGGTCACTACAAAGTATAAACATTTTGAGTGTAACATACATAGGCTCAGAACAAAAGACCCAATCTAAACTATTCAAATGTTTTGAAAGATTGTGGACGGGAATAATTCGAATTTCACTGATAAAATACGATAAATTGTTTGTTTCTCTCCTGTTGTGATTTTCTGTATTGGTTTATCCAAAATGATATTTTTGTTCCAAATTTTTTCACTGAAGCATGACTGCAAAGGGCCCTCTCTTAGGCAGTCAATGCCCCCCCCCCCCCCCCTATATGAAAATTTCTGGATCCGCCACTGCTAATTACGTAATGTTTTGTAAATAAACAGTTTATTTTGTCCTGCATAAATTAATTTGTGTGCATAAATATTTTTGAAATAAAAGCGCCGTTTGAAATGATGATATTCATTCAGTCTTCTTTATTCATATTGTCAAGGCATAGAACAGACATAATATCGAAGTAAGACTGATGTTTCAAACTTTCTCTCTTCATTTACTGTATCATGTATATCGTTATCAAGTTTAGTAAGTGTTTATATGAAAAATGTAATTAAATATATTCAAGTGCATTTATGTGAAATAAATTTACAAGAAATTATTCTATTAGATTTTATTTTCATATAAACGATGACTACATAGTGAGTGCATCTCTTCTCAAGATCACAGTATGGTATACGATATATATTTGAAGTACATACTTGTTTACAATAACTTTATAAATTATGAACTAATAATTTTTTCTGGAAAACTAAAGAGCTACCTTTTTTACACGAGATTACTACAATGTGCTTTGATATTTTTTTTTTTTTTTTTTTTTTTTTAAATTTTACATACTTTATTGAAAACTTTCACATTTTTTATTTGGATACAGAAAGTACCGGTACCTTATCCCGGCCTCGTTAAACATTAGCTGTATATTTAGATAGAAAATAGTTAGTAATTGTTAGTATTCTAAATTATAAAATATATACACTATATTATTATGTATCCATTATTTCTATATTGTGCAATAAAGAGAGAATTTTATTTCATAAAGAAAGAAAAATGAGAAGAGAAAATAATAAATAAATAAAAAAAAAAAAAAAAAAACCAACAAAAAAACAACAAAAAAAACCAACAAAAAAATAACTGAAATTTGGATTTTTGGCAGCAGTATTTTGGTCAAAACTAGCATGTGTCTTAAGATATAACATTAAATAAATTTGGCAAAGTTGGTTTTCCATTGTAAAAAAATCATACAAACACAAAATAGACATTAAAAAACGTACATGTGGTTTTAGGCACAAAACAAGAACAAAAAACAATAAACAAACATATAACAATATATTAAATAAAACATATATGGTGGTTTGGAGAAGGCTAAAACAATATACACAGTAACATTACATAGGGTAATGCTAATTTGTTAAGTGTAAATTATTCTAGTATTGGAAGCCAAGGGTCCCAGTAGAGGTTGGCAATGTGTAGAGGCTTTGTTTTAAAAAAATATATTCTTTTCTAGTATTAGATTTTCTTTTAGATAATTTTTCAGCCCTGCAAAACTGACTTGATTTTCACACAGTTTTGTTCTATAAATAAAGAATTTTGATAATAGTATTATTAAATTTTTTATTTTATTATTTTCTGTTTTTCCTAAATTTCCGAATAAAATTATATCCATGTTAAACGGAATAATTATTTGTGTTTGGTTATAAATCCAGTCACCGAGTCTTATCCGCAGATCTGCTATTTTATGGCATGTCCAAAATATGTGTTCAATATCTTCGGTAAATTCATTGCAGAAAGTACATTTATCGCTTTGTTTTATTTTTATTTTAAATAAAAATTTATTTGTGCCAAAGATTCTGTGTATTATTCTAAACTGGAACCATTGAAGTTTTGAGCTTTTTGTGGAGTAAAAAGACATACTATGCACGGTTTTCCAATCAAAATTTTTGTTCAGTGTTAAGGACCATTTGTCTTCACAGTTAAGTTTAGTACTGTTTGTTTTTCTAATAGAACATTATACAGTCTTTCGAGCCTTTTTTTGATAAAAAAAATATTCTTATATTATTTGGAATAATTGGTCCTTGTGTTTTATTAAGATTGTTTATGGATATATCTTTCTTGAGAGCTTTTTTATATGATTTTATTGATGAAATTACCCTATTATAAGTAAGAAAGTTTGACTTAATTTTATAAATGTCTTGGAATTGTTGAAAAGTCATTAGTTTTCCCTCATCGTTTAATAGATCATTTATCAAAAAGATCCCTTTATCTGCCCAGTCTTTATAGAAAATAGATGTTGTTCCTATTTTAATATTTTCATTATTCCAGAGTGAATCTGATACAAACTCGTCTTCATTTTTTGGTATAAATTTATTTTGTAAATCTGTCCAAGCTTTAAAGACCTCTTCCCAAAAAGGGTTTTTACATCTTTTTGTTGGGCCTAAATAAATTAGGTTTTCAATACTGATTTTTCAGTACTTTCTAGTAGCTTATTTAGTTTTGGGTTGTTTTTCAACAACCGTCTAATCCATGTTAGTTTTTAATCCTTTTATATATTTGTCAATATTTATCATTTTCAGCCCTCCTAATTTGTGTTCAGAACATAATATTCTCTTTTTATCTTGTCAGGTTTGTTTTCCCAAATAAATGAATAAATTTTGTCAGTTAGTTGTTTTAAAGTATTTTTGCATAGTGTTTGTAATGTTAAAAACAGATGGTTCAATTTTGAGATAATTAGTGTCTTGATGATTGTTATTTTTCCAACCGGTGTTAATGTTTGTTTAGACCAAATTTTTATTATATTCTCAATTTCCTTAATTCTTGGACCATAGTTTTACAATTCCATTTCATGCAAATTGACAGAAAAGTTTATTCCTAGTAATGTAATCCTACTGGAACCCCATTCCAATCCCCATTTTACACACATGGTGTCTTGACTATATTTTTTTTTGCCTATCCACACCACCTTTGTTTTGTCCAAGTTCATACGGAGACCAGACATGTCAGTATATTTTGTAGTAAGCGAAGAGATGCATCTAGAGATTTGGGAGTACCGTCCAGTATTATTGATGTGTCATCGGCGTATTGAGAGATAAGATATTCTGTGTCATCAATTTTAATTCCTTTAATTTCTTTGTTCTTTCTGATTAAAATTCCTAGAATTTCAGCACATAAAAGAAAAAGGTAAGGTGATAAAGGATCCCCTTGTCTACAGCCTCTTTGGATCTCAAAGAAATCTGACAGAAAACAGTTTTGGGATACTGATGAGCTTATATTTGTGTAAAAACTCCTTATCCAATGTTTTATAGAGGGTCCAAAGTTGAAAAAGTCTAATACTTCATTTATGAATTTCCATGATACGGAATCAAAAGCTTTTTCAAAATCTATGAGAAGGAGAAGACCTGGTAAATCATTTACTTCTGTATAGAATAAAATATCATATATGAGACGAGTGTTTTCTCCAATATATCTTCCAGGAATGAAACCTGTCTGATCATTGTTAATAATAATAGGTAGGACAGATTTTATACGCTCTGCTATACAGCTTGATGCTAGTTTATATGTTGTATTCAAAAGACTTATTGGTCGCCAATTTTTCATGAACTGTCTAGGTTTGTCACCTTTTGGTAAACAAGTAATAATACCCTGCTTTTGAGTTATTGACAATTCCCCCCTTTTGTAACCACAAATTATAGATCTGAAAACAAATTTTCCTACATTTGTCCAAAAAAAATTAAAAAATTCATTTGTATAGCCATCTGACCCAGGACTTTTCTCATTTTTCATTCTACGCAAAGCTGTTGTCAATTCATTATAAGTTATCTCCCCCTCTAAAGATTCTTTTAAAGTATCAGTTAATATTTCAATATCAGAATCAGGAATTTCGTTATTAAGATTTACACTACTCAAGCTCTCTGTTTTAGTATAAAGTTTTTTAAAGTAATTTTTGGCCTCTTCTAATATTTTATCTTGTTTACAAATTGTGTCCCCTTTTTCGTTAACTAGTTTGGGGATGGTTTTATTTATAAAATGTTTAGTTTCCATATTCAAAAAGAAACTAGATGGCTTTTCCCCTTCTTCAATCCATTGCATTTTCGATCTGATATAGTACCCCCTCATTTTTTCTTTCCTTATTATTCTAAGATCAGATTTATGGTGTTCAATTTCTGTTAATATTTCCTCTGTTAAGATGCTTTCCTCTAATTTCTGAATTTTTTCTGATAACATTTTTTCCTGTTTATCTCTTTCCTTCTTTTTATAAGATGCATAGGAAATAGTTTTTCCTCTGATTTCAGTAAGTAATATTTCTAAAAAGAGTTGGTCATTTATTGTAAAGTGGATATCTAAATCATTTATTTGTTCTAAAGTTTCTCTATTATATACTAGTGATGCATATTGGTCTTTTACTTTAAGTATAGTGTCTTTTATAGTTTTGGAATATTCAATATCATGTAAAAGTGAGTTGTTAAATTTCCATAATCCTCTTCCAATTATGAAATCATTCATCTTCAGATTTAATATTATTGGGGAGTGATCTGATCTATAGCTGTTGTGAATTTTTACATCATATACATTTTGATTAAGGTCTTGGGTTATTAAAAAGAAATCTAATCTTGCTTGTTTTATGGGATTAGCTTTTCTCCATGTGAATTGTTTTAAGTCTGGATTAATTTCCCTAAATGGGTTTGTTGAATTATAAAATTCTATTTAGTCTAGAACTTTCTCCTTAGCTTTTGGGTTATTAATATTTTGATAATTATATGTATCAAGACTTTGGTTTTGTACTAAATTATAGTCTCCAATTATAACAACTGACTGATTGTTTAAAGTTTATATCATTTCACTTAGTTTTATATAAAATACTGTTGTATCTTTGTTTGGACCATATAAGGTTATTAGGGTCATTCTTTTTCCTTCTATTTCCATATCAATTCCTAACAAATTTCCTTGATCGTCTTTTTTTACTTTACGTATCTTATACTCAAAGTTTGTTGTCAATAAAATTGCTACCCCTCTTTGATTTGTTGCAAATGAATTAAAAATTCACTCTCCTCCCCATAGATTTTTTATTGATATTTCACCATTTTCTGAAAAATGTGTATCTTGTAAGCAATATATATTACAGTTTTTTGATTTAAGATAATCAAAAACATCTCTTCGCTTCTCTTTTGAATTAAGACCTTGACAGTTGTATGAGAAAATTTTTATAATATTATTACTCATTTTTCTTGTGATATTTCTATTTTATAACAAAACAATAATATGTAATTTTGATGAATGCATAAAAAACTGAATGACCCATACAACTGACTGTGTACTTTTAAGTGTGTGAATGTCAAAATATCCTTCAGATGTCTGATCTCACCTGCCATGTCTGTGTGGAATTCTAATTGTAACCAGAATACACCAACGATGCTGTA